ACTACGACTGTGTGACTGTCATCATCTTCCGTGGCCATGTAAATCGAGTTTTCTGAAAGCTTAAAGACTAAAGACAAGTTTCTAAGAGTAAGAGAAGTTTGGCGCAGTTTAACGCGGCGTTCATCAAACCTTACATTCACGAACGCCATCTTCTACAAGTGACTAGACTTAGAAGGGGMGGACTTAATGTCTAGAAAAAAAGCACGTGTAGACAAGTACGCGTGCGCAGAAGAGCTCTGATCATTCAAGGGTCAATTCCTAAAGTCACAACTTCTAACCTGGTCTAACCTCATGCTTACTGTAAATTAGACCCTATTAAAGTGGTAAGCAATTGTATTCCCTAGTTACCCTCGAACCTCGACTTTTAGGTACACTAGTACTCGACTATCTTTAGCCCCCAACTTTTAATTATTTTTTATTGTAATGATTTTTACTGCGAGATATATGTAGAGTGGGATCGGGTAATCTTCGAGTTACGCGCTTCGAGTTACGCGCTTCGAGTTATGCGCTTTTCGAGTTACGCGCTCGACCACGCCCAAATTTGCCTCGGCCACGCCCAGCGCATAACTCGATGCAACTAACATACATTAGTGTCTTCGAGTTACGCGCCTAGCGCGTAACTCGATGCAACTAATGTATGTTAGTTGCATCGAGTTAAGCGCTTTTAAATTAAAATCAATATAAAAAAGAGCTCCTTGCTTTTACGGCTTTTATTTTTGAAGCAAAATCTATAAAATATATATAGATATGAAAGTATGTCAAGTTTTAAAATTACAAATGGCAGCCCTTTTAGGCTGCTCGAAAATGTTTGAAAATGTTTGAGTTTTTAAATTTGGTCTCCATATTCTGAAAGTGCATGATTTAATGCATCCTTGCTCAATATGAGACTCTTATATAGTGTCTTTTATAGCGGATATACAAGCGATTTTATCGTCGGGTGACTACATACGAACGCTTGTAAATTTGGTCGCGTTCTTTTCGTTATGAACGAGCCCAAATTACAAAGCGTTTCAGTGGTAAGCCGACCATAAAATCGCTTGTATCTCCGCTATAAAAAAGTATTTTTGTGAGTACTCTATAGGTAAATATGTTATAGCTTAGCTAATATTTCACATTCAGTTATTTTTAATACACTATTCACAACAACTTATTGCGTTCACATTGATGAAGTAGATACTTCTATGATGTAAGGGTCGTCTATCATTCGACCTTTGATAGAAAGATAAATTGGAATATCACGTACACCAATATGTACGTCTTTTTTAAATCTACCAACAGAAATGGCTTCTCTTTATTTTCACAATGCAAGCTAATTTTTATTTGCTAAATTCTGTGTCCGTCCTCAATTAACCCACGAGGGGCTTTCGACGTATCATTAATCGGATGTCAGTGCACAACCCACATTGATCTCCATTGATATCATGCATCATGATACAAACGTCCGAAGAAAAGTCATTAATGTTTTCCTTTTTGTTCTGTCACCTCCAATTATAGAAATATATTCAAAAAAACATTGTTGAGTGACTTTGTGAAGAAAATGCGTGATTCTGTTCATTTAAATTGATTTCCATTTAAAAGCGCGTAACTCGATGCAACTAACATACATTAGTTGCATCGAGTTACGCGCTAGGCGCGTAACTCGAAGAAACTAATATATGATAGTTGCATCGAGTTATGCGCTGGGCGTGGCCGAGGCAAATGTGGGCGTGGTCGAGCGCGTAACTCGAAAAGCGCGTAACTCGAAGCGCGTAACTCGAAGCGCGTAACTCGAAGCGCGTAACTCGAAGATTACCCGCCCTCATGTAGAGTGCTTTTTGTCAAACTGTGAAAAACTTACTTAACTAAATAACTATTTAAGGTGACGTCACATAAATTAGTAAAAACGCGCCAAACCAATCGTCGAGAAAATCAGGTAGGGGCTGTATTTAGGTGGCTTTGTTTTACCGGGCTGAATGATTATAAGGAATGACCATTAGAATCAAATCATAATTTCCAACCAATTCAGAAATAGCTTAGTTGGTAGGTCTATGGGATTTCATGCGAAAGGTCAAAGGTTCGAATCACCGGCGGCGCCGCAACATAAACTCTAAGTTAAGTTTGGCTTTTTGTCGAGGCTCGAGGGAAGCATCTCGAGTCTCGAGGGTAAAAATGTCGAGGGTCGAGGGTATAATGTCGAGGGTCCAGAAAAAACTACCAGAACTTCTCTCACAATTCTTTTACGAAAACAGAATTAGAGAAAAAAATCACAATCCATATTTATATCGGGTTTGTAGTATGATTCTGGTCACCTTATTTCTCGAATGTTTTTATCATCGAAGCGCCGTTAGAAGAGTTACTGTAGACTCAGGCGGTCTCATCTACGAACACTAAATAAATGAAATATAGTGTAGCTGCAGTGTCTACAATGTCTAGATGCCCGGCAGCCGGACGGTCTCTAACTACTCGGTGGCCGGAAGTCCAAAATTTCTCCAAATTACGTCCAAATGACGTGTTTCTGTTGGAACCAGAATAGGCAAAGTTTGTTTAGAAATGGGCCTACTTTGAATAAAGCTCACCGGTCTTTGCTCGGCATGGTATACGTACAAACCTTTTCCGTCGCCGAAAATTGACTAGCTTCAGACACTTAATAATGGTCACGCTCTCTTTCTAAAGTCGGCAGAACGGCTTTCAACAAGCAAATCAACCTTTCTTGACTTGATTTTGAACTCAGTAGAGCGCTATTTAATTCCTAATACGGCCAGTCTCGCAGTACGAAAGAAAAAATGGCGCCTGAGTCTTAAACTCTTCTAACGGCGCTTCGATGATCAAAACATTCGAGATAAGGTACCAGAATCATACTACAATCCCGATGTAAACTAGAGTAGAAGACCTTTCGTAGAAGACTCGTGAGAAGTTCTGGTAGTTTTTTTTTTTTTTTTTTTTTTTTTTTTTGTAAAATTCTGAATTATTCTCTATCTCGCCCTTTCCCGCTTTGGCGTGGTCCGCGCCACGCCGGGAACGCGAGTGCGAGGAACTAAATTATGCCGATGAACCAAAGACATTACAAATACAACAACAATACTTTATTTACATTGATTTAAATGAGTACAAGAAGTATTGCTAAGGGCGCGTGCAGATAACAGTAGATTAGGGTGTAAAAGCGTGCATGCACATCCGTTGTTTTCTTTCTCTCAGACAATAGTTGGGCGGCCTATGGATCCGCACCGATTCGAACGAGAGTGAAGTGCCAGTGTGGTCGATCGTCGCGCACGAATCTCTCTACAATGGAGATATTGGAAGCAAATATTGAGTATATTCGAGAGTGTCGCCAAAACAACTTGACCTATCGGCAAATCAGTCAACTTTTTAAAGAGAATTTCCCACTTGTACGCAGAGGGTTTTCTGACAGAAACATTCGACTTATTTGCTCTAAGCACGGACTGAAGAAAATGGCCGATACAGACTTAGATCAAATTATGCAGGGATGTGTGAATGAGGTATATTCATTTAGTTCTCACTTTTAGCTCAAAATGGCTATTTTTGTTTCCGCACACTTCATGAGTTTTATATTTGTTATTTGATAAATTTTATCTGATCAAGGTTGGTCCGACATATGGACGTAAATTAATGACTGGTTATGTGCGTTGTAAAGGATATAATTTCAGTGGAAATCAGATTGCCAAGTCACTTCGACGCGTAAATCCAACAGACCATGCTAATAGAACTGCAGATGTTGTACGGAGACGAAATCCCGTCCCCTACCAAGCACTTTATCATGGCCACAAATTGCACTGTGATCAAAATGAAAAACTTGCCATGTATGGGTGTACTTTGTATGCTTTTAATGATGGACACAGCTCAAAAATCATAAGGTTGTTTTGTATGCCAAAGAAAAATGCCATGATAATATATTCCCACTTCAGGTAATAATTATTATATAATAACAAAAATAATAATTAACCATGTCGTCAATTTCTATTTAAATCTATGTTTTTATGGCTGGGGAGGTGTTGGTTGGTATCCCGTGAATCCATCCTTGTTAAGTGAGGATAATATTCTACAATTAGAGTAAGTGTAAGGCAATTGTGAATATTGGAGATAGAAGAAATGAAAAAAAATTGCTATGGGTATTGTAGGTTCTTTGAGATTTTCAGTCTGCGGCTAAGGTGTTTCCTTTCATGTCTGTTTAGGTCATTTTCGGCCACATTTTCTTTGAGAATAGTTAGTATACCCCCAGGAAATGATATCTCCTTTCCTGGGGGAGAGGGAGGAGAACGGAGGAGGTTGCCTAATCCTCAAGACTCTATTTTGTGTGGTAACCATATAAGAAAGACTAGCAGAAGACTGGGAATGAGCACATTTAAACAGTTCATGTTTTTAAAAAATCTGTTTTCACTGTATAATTCAACTAGTAAACTGGAGTAGTTTTAAGAAATCTTGTAAATGAGAAGGTTTAATAAAATGAAACTAGTTTTACAGACAAGATACAAGTTTAACTGTGCGTCAAGACCAAAGATACAGTAGTAAAGTGAAATGAAAATGAAGGGGAGTAGTTTTAGTTTCAAATGTTGAATATCAGCAGAGCAAAAAGCATTTGAATTTTACTAAAAACGTCAAAACAAGGATAGTAAGGCCTCAATACTGATTGTCACTCAAACCTTTGCAATTTCAAATACCTGTAATTTCTGGTCCTTAAATTTTAGAGCATTCATGAAACTTTCAGATCTTATTTATTAATTCCTTCAATGCGTAGTAATTATATATTAAGCATCTTATAAACTAAGGCGTTAACAGTAGCCACGCCCTTTTTCATGTGGTCGGTACAGCTAGGAGAGGAGGTTATTCCGGATGCCTTTGTCAATATAAATTGAAAGGTTCGTGGGTTTTAATCCCAAAAAGGTCAGAAAATAATTTTCTCCTTCTCTAGGACTATAACTCATGTCTACCTTCCCTATTTCATGTATTGATATCAAACTTCTGCCTGTATTTGTATTTTGATTGTTTATAATTTGCCTCAACAGAGATGTACTCATCAGTGAAGGGATATGGGATACTGTTAGAGTTGACCATGGAACTGAGGCATGCCTTATGCTATATGTGCAAGATATGCTAAAAGATCTTCGGCAGAATCAAGCATGCATGCCATACATCCAGACAGCTTCACGAAAGGTCTTTTACTTATTTAATATATAGAGAGAAAGAGAGAGTGAGAGAGAGAAGAAGAAAACCCGAAGAAAAAATTTGGTGTTATATCCATCAGTCATGATTTCCCATAATATTAAAAGTCTGATCCCCTTCTCCCATATTTCAAATATTATGTGATATCATGACTGATATATTTTTTAATTTGTCCAGAATGAATACTCAACCCCTTCTCTAAAAAAATCAGCAATGGTAACCCATAATTTCTAAGTCTAACTTCAATTGATATGTATGAATATTAGTGTATAGCACCTATTATTCAATTTACATTGGAAGACTAGACAAGTCCTTCGGCAGCCGAGTATATAAATTTTTATATGATTCACTCTCTAAAAATCGCTGCTTATTTTATAACAGAATTTGCCAGCAGAAAGAAAGTGGCCTGAAGTTAATCAGCGTGTTGTTTATCCAATAAAGGAGGTATTAGTAAGGATGGAAAATGGACTACTAATCAACCGCTTGGATGTACTTGAACAATTTTGTATTTCTTTTATAACATTGAATGTTGTAAAAGTTGGATTACAAAGGGTGATGGATGCCTGGAACTTACATTCCATTGAAGGTTTGTCTAAGGTTACCTACATTGTTTATGCTTTCATGCAGTTAACCCGGGGGAGGGGAATACCTAATAAAAAAGGGCAGGGTCCTTGTCGTCCCTTTAGGGTTTGAAATAAGTGTTTTGGTTCCCCTTAGGGTGATTTTGAAAATTCCCACCACTGAGTTTTTTGGCATACGATGGCCCTAGCCGTCATTATAAGATCAACAACACCTCTGAACTGCTAGTTAGATGATGCATAAACACAAATAAAAAGCGGGAAACCAAAAGAAAATGACCTGTTATTGATTAGTAACTCTTATGGGTAAAATTTCTGCACTGCCACACCCCCTTCCCCAGGGCACTTCACTGACCTTCCAGAACTCATTAATAATTCATGAGCTATTAGTCCAATGAGCACCGAACTATTGGGTCACATGATGGGCCTTTATATCCGATAAAGTACTGATGTTTCATTAATAAGTTCTATATCAGATATATAGAACTGATGTTTTATTAATCAGTTCTATATCAGATATAAAGGACTATAAAAGGACTATAAAAGGACTATAAAAGGACTACATAGTTTCACAAAATTTTAGAATTATTAACAATCGAAGATATGCAAAATATTAATTTGGTAATAATATATATCATCTGACCACCGTTTGGATTCAAAAGGCTTAAAACGAGATAAAGTTTATTGATATATTTAGTTATAAAATACTTGGACTCGACCAAATGTGTCTATAATATGAGGCCGATTTTTATTCATAGGCCCTTGACGGCATTGTATGCAACATTTCTCTGTGGAAAAAGTGAAAGTACCAAGTGCTTTTTTTTGGTACTTTGGTACTTTAGATTTCGGATTTAGTTTGCCAGTAGACATACCTTCATAATAAATTGACTTTTAATTTCTCGAAAATTACGTGTCGCGAAATGTCTAGATAGAAATCGCGAAATGTTGTTGTCGCGAAAATTGAGTGTAATAAAGTAACATTTTGTATGGTTTTCCTTCCATAGGTAGAAACAACAGGATACCAAATATTGTAGCAAATAATACCAACAGGCTTAACCCAGTTGATGACAGTTTGGTACCTACTGCAGATGAAGCAGTATCCTTGTATTCCGCTGCAGGTGGACGAATAACAACTGACTGTCAGTTTGGCATAGATCCCTTAGCAGAAGACGAAACGCTTGTCAGGAGAAGAGAACAACATTTTTCTAGAAACAACAGCTCTTTTTCTGAAATTTACAACAACGTTGTAAGCGGAAATGGTTCATTTTTAGAACAAGCAATATTAGATTTCATATCACTAACACGACATATAGCAAATTGAGGTGGAAATATTATAAAGAAGCTGAAGGTCCATAATCTTATAAAACATCCGTATTTGTGTTTCTTCATAATTATTCATCGGTGCGCTATGTATATAGTGATATACCCACAAAATCTTCGATGTGAGACTCCGTAATGTTTTCTTCCTTTTCTATTATATATCGCAGCAATAATCTTGATTCCTAAAGTTTCTATGCACTTGTGTTTCCAGTGTATTGCGATTTTCAATGTTCAATTTTAGTAAATAAAAACTTACCACACAATTTTGTATATCACTGACCGGAGTACATGCATCTAAATAGTAGTTTCCGTTAATATACAAAACGTCATCAACGCATTAACAAACACAAACACTCAGTACCAGGGTACCCGGCCACTGGGTGGTACTCCCCTGTATTTTCAATACGGGTATCTGCCGCTTGATAGGATCCCTTTATCGGAGCTCCAAGTCTGGAATAGGCTATCATTGCACATAGTGAGATAAGGATAGTATTTTTGTCTGGAAAAGGGTAGTTTTTTGTCTATGATAGGGTATAGTGTCATTATCTGGGGTAAGGGAGAGTTCTGCCTGTGATCTTATCTAATATGCCACGCATTCGGCGCTAAAATGTTGTACCTTTATACTGGTGTAGGGTATGTAACATCACAAAAATAGGGTTTTCAGGATTGTGCGGCACACCCCCACAAAAAAAAGACTTTCAATCTGTCCAGTACTTAATCAGAAAAATTGGCCTTTTCCACGATAAATGTAAAGTCAATTCAATGTGACAATTTGACTTTGGCAATAAATTTCATGATTGACTTCCCTTCAAGACAATATATAACATGACTGTTCACCAGAAATGCTAAAATCTGAAATTCTCATGTCCTTTGTTTTGAACCCTGTGTCTTCAATGCAAAATTAGCGATCGTTTCGCTCTCATCATTCAATTGGTCGGTAAGCAGCAGGCAGGCAGGTGTGGCACTTCACGCAGATACACTTGAAATTCAGTGTCTTATCAATGTCAAGAAAAAAGTGTCAGGTCATCTCAATGTAGTATGTTTCATGTAGTACTTGAACATAGACAACAGACTCATAGAACATTTCTAGTAAAGTGCACTGTAGATCTTTAGCATTCCTCTCCTCCAATAAGATTGCTCCTTATGGCAATTAGTTCTCCTGGGGCAAAAGAATCGACATTGGTACACTTGTCTTCCGACTGCTAATCTGAATAAGGACCTCTACGGCCTGTCCGT